GAGTTGGGGAAGTTTGTGAGCATATAGTTTTCGGTAGGAAAACAAAGATGATTGTGTTGGAACTTGACAATCTCAGGTATACAAAATGTTAACTTTGTTGACAGTATGTTAACCGATGTATTTCATTAGTAACCTTCTTCTTTCTGCTGCCAATGTATAGGGGTCACAAGTTAGAGTGTGCTTTGTGGGAGCATTATGTGGATGAGGTACAATCTTTTTTGGCAAGCAGTGACACTCCTCATAAGGTGATGATTGTTCAACTGGGGAGGATAAAGGGTTTTAGGGGTATGTGTTTTGTTGCTTTTTTTTTTGCTGCATCTATGTGATTCAATTTTATCTTCTGTACTGTGTTATACATCGATGGGTGTCGATTGTTATGTGTATCTACCTCTAATTTTTTTTTTAATATTGGATATGGAAAATTGGGGTAACGAATACAAAATATACGACGAATATTGTCATGGATTCGAATTTGCCCGAGATTGTAGAGTTCAAAAAACGGTGTGCATATTGTTCTTTATAGTGCTGCTGTCATATTTTTTTTGGATGTCAACTTATGGTGTTATGAATATTTGCATTTTAGTCTATCGTCTGATGGTGTGGAAAGTAGTTTGAGATTGACTCAATTGTCTACTCAGTCCTCATATTCATATGAAAATGATTTTCTTAAGGAGACGGAGAGAAAGTCAATCCGTGATATCAAGCTCTGTGGTGAGGTAAATATTGAATTTGCATTAATGATTTTGTGTAACCATAGTAAGTGTGAATTGATATGTTGTTCATTTTTTTGTTGCATTTCTGTATTGCAGGTTACTACGTGCAACACATATGGGACTATAAAATCGATTGAGAGCAGATACAACTGGTGGTACAAGTCTTGCAATAAGTGTCCATTTTCCGTTTGTGAAGATTTTGAAAAATGGTACTGTAAAAACTGGCAGAAACATTGGGAAGATTATTACCCTAGGTAATCTACTGATTTATAAAATGTCTTTGATCCGATAAGTAATTATTTGTGTGTGATGGATGTCTTTTTGAAAATTGCTAGATTTAGTGTTCAAGTCAGAGTTGTGGATAACACAGATTCTGCTTCTTTTCTGCTGTTTGATCGAGACTGTGTTACTTTGTTGGGAATGAGTGCTGCTGAATTGCGCGAAATGCATTTCAAGAGGGTTTGTATTCTTATTTGAATCAATTTATTATGAACTATATGCAATGTGTTCATACAGCGTGGTTTGTATGTAAGTTTAAAATTATTTTTTTTATTCCTTTTTCCAAGGGTGCTGATGCAGAACAATATCCTGAACAACTAAACGTTCTGAATGAGAAGTCAATGCTGTTTAAGATTAACGTGAAACAAAATAACTTGAACTCATACAGTGAGCCAAAATATCAAGTATCTAAAGGAATTAGGAATTTTTTGATAATATGAATTTTTTTTAAAGGATTAGGAATTTTTTGATAATATGAATTTTTTTTAAAGGATTAGGAATTTTTGTTAATTGCTAAATCTCTCTTGCATGCTTTCTTTAAAACAAGGTTTTTATTTTTCTTTGTTTAACTCAGAAAATGTTTAAAACACAATTCGCCCCCCTCTTGTGTTGTTATTTAGTCATTCTTTCTTTACAATCCTAAATTTGAAGTTATGATTCTTTTCATAAAATAATTTGGATGCTTTATTTATTGGCATAAGTAAGAAGCACACAAAGCACAATGATCATTATCATTTAACAGAATGGATACAGGTTAACAGAAAAAATAAAAAAATAGCTAAACTTTAAATAATGAGGCTATCAGTAGTTCACCTCCTCTACAGTCAGAAGAACAATGATTCATATAGTTTGCACATCAAACTGAGGTAGAACATAGGGGTGTGCATGGAGCGGTTCGGTTCGGTTCGATTATTGTCAAAAACTGAACCAAACCAGTTTTAAACGGTTTGGATTTTAAACCGAACCACTTTTTTTTTTAAAAATCGATTTTTAATTTGTCCAAACCGGTTTAAAACCGGTTTCAAAATCGGTTTTGATTTAAAACTGGTTTTAAACCGGTTTTAATTCAAAACCGGTTTTAAAGCAAAACCGGTTATGAACTACAAACCGATTATGAACTACGAACATGTTATCAAGATTAAAATCGGTTTTATAACAATTTTTTTTTTTAGTGAATAGGATGCAGAGATTTTCATGTGTGTATCACGTTTCCAAGAAAATAGGCCAACCACGGTAGAGATTTTGGAGAAGATGGAGGAGGTAATGGTTGAACATGAACAACAGGGACTTTTTGCTTCAACACACTGTAATAACACAAACACAGTCATATCCCATATATGTAAGAGCAAATAAAAGCCCTTGAATAAAATGTGTGCTTTCTGCTCCAACCAAACACAACAATATAAATATGCAAAAAATAAAAATCCATTATATTGGCGTTCATTATATTGCAATCTGAAAAGAGAGCTCAAGGCATTGCAACTGTCTCTTGCAGAAGGAACCCGTACAAATGACCCATTTATTTTAGGGTTTTCGTTTTATCCTTTAACATAACACAACAAACTTTCCTACACTCACAACATTTTCTGGGGCCCACATTTTTTAAAACAAAAAAATAAATAAAAAATTAAGGCACGCAAAACGAATCTCTATAACATTACACAATCACTTTTCCTACAACATAACTCTTATAAAACCCTTTATTTTAATGGGAAAAACATTTATCCTTTTAAAGGATATAAGCTTATATCCTTTTAGATCCTAATCGTTAATTTCCTTCCATCAACGGTTATAATCTATTGGGTCAAACTTAATGGGCTAAAATTATTATTAATTAATTAATAATTTTGATCCAATAAATTATAACCGTTGATGGACGGAAATCAACGGTTAGGATCTAAAAGGATATAAACTTATATCCTTTAAAATGACAGATGTTATTCCCTATTTTAATTGGGAAAGCTTTTATTAGATTTAGATCTGCATGTTTATTGCAGTTAAAAATCCAACCACCTCAAGTTGATTACTCTTCATTTTCGGGTGAAGAAAGGTCGCAAAGATAGTTTAGTTATCAGCATCTTCATTTTCATCTTAATGGGCTCCATAATTCAGTTGAAATCTGACAAACATATTCTTAGCGTCAATGACAAAATTTGAAAAATTTGGGTCAGATCCACATGGAAGTGTTGAAGTGGTGAAATTTGGAAATTTGGGTTAGAAATCAGAATATTGAATAGGTTAAAACATAAAATGATTAAAAAAAAAATGGATATGATTTGGTTATCCAGTATATCCAAACCATTTGATAAATAGATAACCAAACCATATTTAAAATTAAAAAGTGGATATATTTTTTAACCGGTTTTTTAATTTGGTTTGGTTTTATTTTTGGTTTGGTTTGGATCAATTGGATATTTTGCACGTCCCTAATAGAACAAACCAGTTAGAATTTGGAATTAGATTTTGCAGCCTTGAATTTCTCATTCATCCTACTCCTCCTCAGCGAGCCTCATACCAGACATCGTGTCTAATTATTGCATTGCTCTGAAACCTTTGAGCATGATTTTTCCACCTCAATGCTAATAATCTCAAAGAACAACCACAAACTTATGAAATTAAAAATACGACATAAATGTCCAAATTAAATCAACTTACTGTGTAAACTTAGTAGAAAACTCTCAATACGAGGAAAATGAGAAATTGAAGATGGTTTGTGCTGTTTGTAGGGTTTTCAACGTGACAAAAATGATGGCGGTGAATACGCATATTGACGATTACCTTGTGCAAGTGATAAGATATAAGAGGTGGCAGATGAAGACATTGAATTCGAATCCCAAGCCCAAAGCCCCCAAGAAGTGGTCGATTGCGGAGATTCTCACTGTGACACTGCAAATGGACTATGTCAGCGATCACAAACACACGATGGAGGTTGAGAAAGAAAATGAAGATGAAACCAATGGAGAAGAATTGGGTAAATCTTGTTCTTGTTGACTGGGGGCCGGTGTCAGAATCGAGAGTAAGAAAAGTACGAAGAACAATGAGAGAACCCAATTTTGGATCTTCAGCTTCTCCCCTTTTCCTCGTTTTCGCTACAATTAAATTAAATTTACCTAATCACCACAATTTTTTTGCATTGAAAGTTGTAGAGGAAGATGTTGTAGCGGCTGAGAGGAGAATGAGTGTTAGGCTTTTGATAAAGGAGTGGAGAGCTAGCAAGCTAGAGTTCACAACAAGAGAGAAAGCTAATACAAAATTTCAAATCAGAGAAAGACATTTCAACAGAGTTGTAGAAGAATAAGAGGGAGGAGATGCTGTAGCAGTTGAGAGGAGAATGAGTGTTCGAGTTTTGATACAGGAGTGGAGAGCAAGCTACAGTTCACAATAATTTTTTTTAAAATGCAAATATTTTTTTAAAAGAACTATAATTTTTTTAGATATTAATAATATCTACAGAGTAAATAGAAATTTAAAAGATATTACACTCTCACACATATATATATATATATATATATATATAGGGTTCGCTTTTTCTGCCGTTACTGCAGATAAGTTATTTGCAGTAAGTCCAATACGACGTCGTTTTGGGATGGAAATCATAGTGATTTTGTAATTTTAATTTATTTCAGGGCTATAATGGTCTTTATATTTATAATTTTTTAAGATTTCAATATCAAAACGACGTCGTTTTGAGAATAAATGCAGATAATTTATCTGCAGTAACTGCAGAAACATTTTTCCCATATATATATAATAGAAAAACATAATAATACATTATGGAGGTCTAAAACCTCCAAGAAATTACATTATTTAGTGGAGATTTTCTTGGCGTACACTAAATAACCTCCACTAATCATTCATTTAGTGAGGAATGGCTCCTTTATTCTAGATAAATACAGTATTGTTATGACAACGTCTTATTCATGTGCTTAGCTTGATGAATAGGAGCACATTTTCATGTTCCATTCCAAATAGAGCATCTTGATTACAACATTAATCAAAATGCTGTATCTAAATCCTGAAATGATGTATCTGGATATTTTCCACTTCAAGTTTCATGAAATTACTGCGTTTTCTCGTAACGAAAAACTTGCCCCAATCGTAAGGCCTATATTTGGGAGGGTTTTGCTCATTTGTCAGCTGTTCTAAGGGCTCCACCATGGTGTAGTGTGCAGGCTTCAGAAAGAATGGATATGAAAGCCTTGCCTTCTCAGGGTTCAGAATAACTCTGTGCTCAACACTCTCGTATGCGTCATTGGTCCAAACCTGTGCAACAATTATCTCTGGTTAGTTATGTTGAACTGCTACGACTACAAATATACCAATCTAATACGAGTGAAATGCATATGGAAAGTGCACGCATGCACTCTATGTATCTTACAAAGCTCGACATGTGACATACACATTTTGATTTTGGGAAAAGTGTATATCATTTTAAAAGATGTAAAGTTGTGTCATTTTAAGTGAAAAAAAGAGATAGATAAAGGAGGAGAGAGAGTGGACAAAAAATATAAAGGTATAGATCCCACCTCTTTGTGAGAGTGAAAGGATATTAGTTGTGTCATTTAAAAAAAGAAACACTTTTTCCTTTGATTTTTACACAAGTCTCGTATAGAGGTGATGTGCAACTTAAACGCATACACACTCCCAATGTGCATTTAACTCGTATTAAATTGGTAAGTATTTTATTAAAAGAATTAAATAGATAATATGTCTTGAATTTTGCATCAGAAGTGAAATAAAAAGCCTTAAAATTGTGATAATTGATGTGTCAATAAAAAATGTAAGAAAATAAGAAGAGATATACAATATGCATGCAGGTGTATCATAAGAGAAACGGTATTGGATGGATATGTATGTGGATGGATACAATCTGCCACCATATTTGGAGTGTCTATGCTACGCACCACAGCTAGTTAGAGGTTTAAGCTTCACATCTACTAATTAATTTAAAGAATTGATTTAGAAGTAGATAGTATACAGTACCTGAATTATGTCTCCAACATTGATAATATAAGCATTAGGTGCAGGATTAACCCGAACCCATTCACCATCAGATTTTCGCTTCACTTCTAGCCCACTGACTTCATCTTGAGCAAGGACGGTTAAAGCACCAGTGTCCTTGTGGCGGCCACATCCCAAGACAATGTCAGGGAAAGGACAAGGTGGATAATAATTGAGCCTGATCCAGCTTGTTTGGTCTTTGAAGAAGCCATGAAACCTTTTTGGTGGCAACCCTAAGCTCATAGCAATAAGCTCCATTAACTTGAGTGCTAGTTTTTCCATGACATGAGCATATTCTTGGAATGCCTCTCTGTACAAAAAAAAAAAAAAAAAAAAAAACCAAAGTCATAATTCAGATTCCTATAAGTTGTAATGGAATTATATGATATTGTTGAGAATTTAAATATAAATAGTGAATTTTCACATTCGTTAAAAAGATTATTAGATTAAGTGAGTATTATATAAATGAAAGAATTCAAAAATTTAAAGTTTTGAGATTTTGAATTAAGATGTGATGTCGAGCTTATTTATTGTGACAAATTGTTGCTTAGCCCATTGACAATAATTCTCCCCTGCCATAGGCTCCATTGTTACGCGGCAGATATTCCTCAATAACTCTCATACAAGGTTTTACCATTGCATAAATCCATCAAACATGATAATGACCTAAGTAAATTACTAATGGTGTAACCCCAAATAAACTTTTGAATTACCATCATAGATCAGTTGACGGAAAAAAAAAAAAAAACACAAACGTTGTAATTATTTTTTGATCATATTCAACTTAGAAATGGACACTCCATACTTACTTTTTATTTGTTTAAGTTTTGATAGGAAGAGGAAGGAAATAATTACTTAAATGGGAAGATATATGATCACTTTCGCTAAGTTCCCACTTTTCTCTTTATTTCTCCATTGATTTTAACTTTCATATTCCTTCCAAACATCCAAAAAATCACTTTTTAGAGATTTTCAGTAGGTAAAAAGAGAATTACCTAATCTATTCTCTTTCTGATGAGTTCCCTTTCTTTCTTCTTTGATTTCTCCTGGTAAACATAAATTAAATGATTATAGTTTTAACTATAAAGAACTATCTTAGTGTGTACGTGTTGTTATAACTTGGTTGACAATATCCATATTCACAAACATTTGATACCAGAATATTCCCTAGTGTGTACGTGTTGTTATAACTTGGTTGACAATATACATATCCACAAACAGTTGATACCAGAATATTCCCTTTACAAACTTTGCATAAAAAACAACAAAACTACCATCAATTGATCCACCTAATGTTGGATTAGGATAATTTAGAACTGCAAAAGGTTCAAACCCTTAAAAGTATTTTATTATGACAAAAAATTATTCTTAAACATAATTATAAAAACACGAACAATTGGTTGAAAGAAACTTGCACACTATCTAGTTCTTTTAAAACTATAGATGATCAATTTCAACGCCCCTAAAAAAAAAAAAAAAAACTGTAGGTGAACTTCTTCCCGGCCGGACGTTACATAACGTCATAATCTAATATTTCATATATCATATTAGATATCATGTAAAGCGAAGTTTTTCCCTTCATGTTTTAAGCATGATCGATTCCAAAAAACAAAATACGGCAACCAACAAATTTTGAGTTATTTACGATGTAGCAATATTAAATGCGTCTACTATTAACTCATACTGCTTTTTTGTTTTTTGGCTTATACATATTATAAGGATAATAAATAGATTTAATTTAAACTTTTTAGTCTTTAATATTGGGCTTGTAGCATATATATACGTAATATGCACAGTACATAATAGCAACATCTTTTTTCCTCCTCAAATGCCAGTTTTCTCTAAGTTTCTTTACACACATATTGTTTCTCGTCTTTAAATAATCTTTTCATCTATATTACGAGCCTGCGTAATCAAGGATGCAGTTGAAAAATGAGATAAATTTATGGGAAATTATTTTCTTCAATGGTAGGAGATAACTATCTCATATCATAGAGACATAAAAAGATGTGCCTGAAATTTCTTTTTATTTTTTTATTTTTTTTAACTTGTGGGCTCCACATTTCTTGTTAGTGTAGGAAAAAAAATTTCTTTCATTTTAAATGAAAGAAGTATTACCTTATTTATATATATATATATATATATATATATATATATATATATATATATATATAGAGGAATGATCCGTTTATAAATGTTTTTTATAAATTACACTAAGTATGACTGGTCATACACTCTTGCTTTAAGTATGACCGATCATACTTAGTATAGTTTATAAACAAAAAGTTTGTAAATATAACGTTTCCCGTTTATATATAAGAAATTTTAAGGGAATAACAATAGCAGTAAAAAAATTCATTAACATTCCTATTTATTTTATTTTTGTCCTAATTAAAATTTTAGATAAGTAAATAAGAATTTTAGTTTAGAAATTTTCTTTTGGTAAAGAGATACAGTAATTATTTTTATTTTTATTTTCTATTTTGATTATTTCTACAATAAAATAATATTCAAGCTTTTGCATGACTATAAATTTATCATTAAAGAGCATATTTTTTCTAAAAATAAAATAAAATATAGCAAGCGAATATAAAAATTAATTTTATAAAGAAATTAAAGAATTATCAATTCTTTATTATTCATAAAATATTATAAAATTAAATATTATCTTATACATAAAAAAATGTGTTTTATAAAAGAAAGACAACTCGATTGTGTTTCTCTGCCACTAATTTTAAAGGGAAATATTATATTTACAAACTTTTTGATTACAAAATCTTACAAATTACATTATGTCTGATTGGTCATACTTCAATCAAGAGTATATGACCGGTCAGACTTAGTGTAATTTATAAAAAAAAATTTGTAAACGGATCCTTTCCCAATTTTAAAACAACTTATTCTTATTTTATTTTTTATTTTTTTGTTTGTGTAAAATCAATCTATCTCCCTGTTAATTACCATACTCTAAATTCAATGAATGTAACTGAGCTTAGTATGTTTCCCATAATCCATCTAGAATTGTTAGAATTCAAAGGCAGATATGGATGCCAATTAATATGATTGAATTACCTCAACTCTGGTGGGTTCTCAGGCCACTGATTATTCCAGTGAGTGATCTCTTTGTTATGAGGGTCAAGTGAAGCTGCCATCAAGGTTGGTTCCTCCACAGTAAAATCAAACACCTCTTTCCAATCCTTGATATTCTTTGTATGCTCAGAGTCATAATATCCCATCACATTCAAAGCATCCCTCCTCACCTTAGTCTTCTCTTCTTTGCTAAGAGCAAAGAATTTCTTTGCAGCAGATTCAATCTTGTGCCTGCTTTCAATAGGAGTTCCATGATTGATTACTTGGAAGAACCCCCACTCCTTGCATGCACTGCCTATTTGTCTCACAAGGCCTTCAATGGCTGAAGGGTCTGTGATGGTGATGGAATCGTTTGATAAAGTGGATAGGTCTATCACTGGGATACCTTCAGCTTCAGTGACACTACTGAGCTTGGGTCTGTGTTCTGGTGGCTGAATCAAAGTTGGATCTACCTCACCCATGGTTATGGCTTTTTTTGTTAAGAAATAAAATCAATAACTGCAATTATAGGATGAAAGAGTTTATGGGATGTGTCATATTGGTCTTGGTGTCCAACTATTTATATACATTGAAATTATTCGCATGTTTTATTTTATTCTATTTATTGTTTTGGTGCATGCATGAGTTGACAGTACCATATTTAACAAGGTAAAATGCTGGCAGAATCTATATGGTTAAACAAAATAAATTAAGGGTTAAAACTTTCCTGCACTAACCAAAAAAAATGTGGACCCCATGAAAGTTTAGAAAAAATAAAAAAAAAAAGTTGACAGCGACAGTCTTGTGTGTGCAGGAATGGTTGGAATTCTCCGGTGACATAAGAATTTCAATGCTCATAAATTAATAAAGAAACATTATAGGCAAATGTTTACTATATATCAAATTCTAAGGGTTTATTCATGCAATTCCGCCAAAAACGAAAGTAGTATATAACTATTTCTATATATCCAATATGAGCTTCAAATTTAGGTTGTGAGTGAGGAAATCAAAGATACAGCATGTGCATGCATGTGCACTTGAAGAGAGAGAATATAGAAATGAAGATAAAAGAAGGGTTGAAAAATGATTGTGAGGTGTTAGGTGAGTTCAAGGGAATCCCATGGCGAGGGACCACAATCAGTGAGTTAAGGCTGCATCGCCATATTAAGTGGGTATGATATTATGTCATAACTCAAAATCTTAAGTTATTGGGTTCATGGGTCTATCCACTTATATCCACTTTACTTAGTCCATTATCAACTAATGTGGCACTCGTCACACTTGAATAATCCAATAACCTTCCCCTCAAGTGTGAAACTGAAACCTATCAAATTGGTATGCTCTCCCTCTCCCCGAGTACCCCAGACCCAAGTAATCAACTATCTCCCTAGTCAAACATCTGGCTAGCCCGAGTCTAACCCGACTCTAATACTACTGTCATGCAAGTCCAGAGAGAGCCCGTGGCAGGGGATCACCACCAGCGGATTAAGGCTACACTGACCATAGTGGATTCAACACCATGTTTGAATCCAAAATCTTAAGACATTGGTTCATAGGTCCTCTCACTTATATATATGTACTTCACTTTAGCTCATTATCAACCAATGTGAGACTCATTACACTTGAATAACCCGATAATCTCCCTATCAAGTGTGAAATCTGAATGAGTAGGAGTGAGAATATATGTTTAATTCTTCCCGGTACCATCTTTAAAACGAGTTTAAAGCCTTAACTCTGAACTCGTCGTGGATTAGTCCATAGAAAAAAAGACCATAAGTAATATTAGTGGCCTGTCCAGCAATAAAAACTAAACGCGGATAATATACTAACAGCTAAGCTTTCGGGATTTATTAATTTGCTAATTTTTTTAATTATATTGTTACGCTTTTATTTATATACCTATTATTATCAATTATCAATACAACAAATGACATAATAAATCTCTGTATACAAAAGTTTAATGCTAAATAGTGTCAATATATATTACGAGAGAATTACAATATTAATGTAATTAATTGATAAGTAGGATGTGTCAGAGAGAAACTAACTCAAGGGTATGATCAAGAAGATATGTCACTTTAGGTTCCACTAAAGTGAGTTTGTTGGAGCCACTATAACTCTGCCTGCACAGAATAATCACACATAATGCTGATAAATAACTTACATAAATGCTAGAGAAAAGTTAAACTTTACAAAAGTCTTCTTAGAAGCTCAATACTCAAGCAGATTACTCGAGGTATATTCTACAATCAAGTTAGGCCTAGTCTTCAAATTTCAATCTAGTTAGATCTAATTTCAACGCCGAAGCTAGATTCCCCTAGATATTCATCAAGAGAAATAAAATTATAAAAATAAAATGAGAAAATAAAAAAATTTAAGAACCTAAAATTTAAATAAATAAAACACAACGAATCAATAATAATTCTGACGAGTGAAAAAATAAAAGAAAAAAAGGCGACGTGTACATTTATATAATTCAAAGTCATTAACCCAACAAGTGAATGAAATAATACGTTTGAATTTAATTTCGTTGATAACTCAATAACAAAATATTGTTAAAAAATGCAAAATATACTGCTTTACATGTGAGAAAATTAATAATATCTATACAATGTCCGGATAAAAAACTCTATAAATTTATGATATCTTTTATTGTATTTAAACTAATAACTGGGTTCACATTATTATATTTTATAAGGGTTCGCTTTTTCTGCAGTTGCTGCAGATAAGTTATCTGTAGTAAGCACAATACGACGTCGTTTTGGGACAAAAATTATGGTGTTTTTATAATTTTAATTTATTTCAGGATTATAATGGTCTTTATATTTATAATTTTTTAAGATTTCAATACCAAAACGACGTCATTTCGGAAAAAATGCAGATAACTTATCTGCAGTAACTGCAGAAATATTTTTCCCATTTTATAATTCGGGAAAATGTTTGTCCTTTTAAATGACACAACTTGTGTCATTTCACTCTCAAACAGAAGTGGAACCCACATATTTTTTTTTTGTCCACTCTCTCTTCCCATAATCTATCTTTTTCTCTCACTTAAAATGACACAACTTTACATCCTTTAAAATGACATATATTTTTCCCTAATAATTATTTCTTACAATTATATAATTGATTTCTAATCTTACCTAACAATTTTTTATTAAAAAAAAAACTGATTTTCTTGTCAAGAACCTTTTAAGAAAAAATAAAAAGTACTTCAACCTTTCCCGGTCTCCCTCTTTCACTTTAATCTCTTTCAGTCATGGCGTATCAATTTTGAAAATAGGAGAGGGATTTTATTTTCCATGTATATAAAATTATATGATATCTATATATATATATATATATATATATATATATATATATATATATATATATATATATTTTAATTCTCACATGACATTATATGACTTCCATATATTTTTATATTTATATTTATACATATATATATATATATATTTTTTTTTAATTCTCACATGACATTATATGACTTCCATGTATTATATATATATATATATATATATATATATATATATATATATATATATATATATATATAAGAATGTTATATTTACAACCTATTTTCCTTTACAACTTCTTACAACCATATCTTAACCGTTGATTTCCGTCAATCAACGGTTAAGATTTTCACAAATCAAATTTATTAATAATTATTAGTTCACAATGAATGACAACCGTTGATTGGCAAAAATCAAAGGTTAAGATATGGTTGTAAGAGTTTGTAAACTATTTGGGTTGTAAATATAACCCCTCCACATATATATATATATATATATATATATATATATATATATATATATATATATATATATATATGAAATAAAATTATCCTTATAATATAAAAATATTAATCACATCAATTTTTATCTCCCAATTTCGTTTTGCATTTATAACAAAATGAATGGATCATATTGATTTAAAAAAAATTGTAATATCATACTTCCTTTCTCAAAGTCTGATCCTTCAGTAATCATTTTGGTTTTGGAAGTGGGCTATGACGTGTGCTCTTGCGTGGCAAATGTTGTGGCCCTGTTTACATTCTAAATTTGGGTCTCTATGTTTTTGGAGAATTTTATTGTATTTTTATTGCTTTTTCTTTTATATGATCATCAGATAGGTAAATGACAAAAATATCTGTAAATAATTGTGAAATGACAAATATTATACTTTACGTCTTTCGGATAGCATCATGTAGCCGTGATCTCCTTGGAAAATTTTGTGTCGGATCGGATGAATCTAATTAGGTATATCTTTTTTTCCAATAGATTTTCTTTTTCAATGTGGTGGATAATGATGAAGTCAGAAAATAATTTTAACATGTGTCAAGATTGTACTATTTTTAAAAACTCAGCCAGTGCCAAAACTATATCATTTTTGAAAACTCATCTTGTGCAAAGATTGTACCATAATACTTATAAAAAACTTGTACCATTTTTGAATATCAACCAGTGCCAAGGCCTTAGCTAGCTTCCAAGTGGTTCCGCCACTAGTTTTCAGAATTTTTTTCCTCCAAAAGTGATGCAAAATTTACCAAATATGAAAAAAGTGGATATTCTAGTATAGGGGGTATTCATCAACCGATCCAAACCGATTCAAACAGCGGTGATCGAACCGAAAAATCAAAAATAAAAAAAAGTAAAATTTAATTGGATTGTATCGATTTTTGGATGATTTGGTGAAAATCGATCCAATCCAAACTGATCCAATGATTCCCCAAACTTACCATCTACTTACTTGGGTCTTTCCCCAATCATAGCTCAAAAATCATATAGCAAAATTTTAAATTCAAGACCCATTCACTCATCATGTTGGAAAAAGTGGGTTGTGTTTGATCTATGTAATTTTTCTTTTTGGTAAAATACATAATATATTTTTATTACACGAATTATTGTTACACAACAGCTCCTCTATAGGATAAAAATTTAGGTTACTTCGTATCTCAGGTAACCGTATTATAAATTTTTTGTTGGAAGTAAAAGATGATAATTTAATCTTTTATTGTACAGTGCTTCTAGATTGCACAATAATCATCGTACAAACTTTACAAAGCTGATACATAAAAAAAATATGTTATTTGCACAATAATCATCATATAAATCTTAGACTTTTCAAAAAATCGAAAACCGATCCAATCTAAACCGAATAAAATTGGATTGTATTGGATCAGATTTAAAAAAATCCAAACCGAATGGATGATTACATGATTAAACCGAAGGGATTGGATCAGATGATTTTTACTTCCAAAACCGATCCAATCCAGACCGCGAACACCCCTACTCAAGTAATACCAAAATTTTACTCGTCTCCTTCCTATCTAATGTGTTATGTGTTATATGAATCTGATACCAACACATAAGATTTGAGTATATTGTGTACCTATTTATAATAGTGATTACTTGAGCATTTTTCGTGTGCTGCTGTTGGAAAAAAGGATGTGCATAGTAAGTCACTCTGATACTTAAAT